TATGCAAATTAGCCTGCAGTACCACTGCTCTACCCATATGAGCAGCAAAAACACATTTTTTGACCAAATATTACAGATTTGAACAAATACGCATAAAAACATCAACATTAGCACAGAAACAGTACTATATAACATTTTAGACACATTCTAGACAGTTTATCAGCTGAAAAAAGTTAATTTTGGGGTAAGTTACTCTTTAAGAATTACTCCTACACTTCGCTTAAAGTAAGACTGAGAGGCTTGATAACTGACTTTTACTCTCAGCTTTTAACTAAGATTTTTTTTACACTTAAGTCCACTCTTAGCAGCATTCTTAAGAGGAATTCTAAGAAGTTTGATAAATATGGGCCCTGATCTCTTGCAGTAAATGTATTGTATTTGAAAGACTCATGAGAAGAAAATGAAATGGCTTACCAAATAATGTCAGTTTGAGTATTCTACTGCACTGGATTGCAAAAGAAAGATCAGAACTGTCAAAAATAGTGATGAGATCATCATCTGAGGGAAAAAAAATAAAAGTCAATTTGACTTTGCATTATGTCAAAACTTCCAAAGAAAATCTGTTGAAATCAAATTAAGCATTTCACATTTGTGGTACCAATAAGGACAATCAGAAAAAAAAAATAAGAGCATACAAACTGTCATAATTCACCTTCATCCTTGTATTTGATGGTGACCTCATCGTTGCTCTGTAGCTTGCCCCGGAAAACACGCTGCATCATCAGCACCAGCTCATCATACGTAATGTCTTCATTATGGATAGGAATGCGTCTAATGTCGTCGCCCAACTGGGCTTTGATGATCAGCTTCCCACTCAGGTCCAGCTGGCCGTTCATGTTGCCCTCTGACCTCTAAGGCTCCCACCACTTGAAATGAGAACAAGAGGAGGCAGTTTTAAAAATGACTAAAAAGATGCTTTTTGTAGTTTGTAAACAGCTTTCTATTTAAAATGTAACAGAAATATAAACCAAATATATGCATGGTAATGGGACTTTTTCTTTAAGCAGTTAAGGCAGTACTGTTTGAGAGAATGATCAAATAACCCATTTTTTAAACTAAAAATTCACTTCATAAATGTAGTCAGACTGAAGATGGAGCATGACGCAGCATCTATGAGCTGTAAGTAGTTTACCAGTTCAGAAAGTTGGCTGCTATAAGAAGTATGATTAAAATAAATCACTTTTAAAAAGGACAGAGCAATTGTACTGGAATGGTTGTTTTCACTGTATGGTAACTAAAGTCTGCTGCTTCGTAAATCCACATTACAAAGTTAAGGACCTTTCTCATCTGCTCAAAGCTTCTCCCACAATTAAAAAGAAAAAAATCAGGCTGTTCCACTGAACTATAGTCTAAGGGTCAAATATCACCCAGTGAAGTGGCAAACGCTGATTACTACAAATCTGTTTACTGACTTTAGATTAAAATCTGTTTGATAAGAGAAACCTTTGGCCTAAATCAATCACTATCACATATTACATAGAATTTTTATCTTTCATTTACACATAAACAGCAAAAGCAAAACAATTTACATGTTGTTTCACTAATTCTTCTGATACAAACTATTAAAAAAGTTCTAAGGAATTTAACTGGTTGAATTTTATTAATTGATATTCATTCAAATCATGTAGACGCAAACTAGCATCTCTGTGGTTATGCTTTGATTTGATGCCCAACTTCAAACATGAACTTAACCATCCAAGGTGAGGAGTTAAATTAAACTTAAAGTAACAGTCAAAAACTAAAAAAAAAAAAAAAAAAAGTAAAATTATCAGAGCTATGGAAATGCATCCACTACACAACTCGCTATTATCAACGCTGTCACAAAACGTGCCAATTAGAAATATTTTAGAAATGGCAAAGTCTTTAATATATTTGAACCGAAACAATGGCACATTATTTTAAATAAGACTTCACTGTTTGTGCTTTAGTAATGTGTCCCTTATTTTCTGCCTGTTAGTTATCAGCTGATGTAGTGAGCTGAACTAAATCCTGCAGTGAATTGAATTCCAGAAATGCTACAGCGCTGGCCAGATGAGTAATTAGCTAGATGCTAAGGATTGTGTAGTGGCTAACATTTAGCACACTGTTATATTGAACGGCGACAAGGAGAAACTGATTTCACGGTTGAGGGGAGAAGTAAAAGATTATCAACACGACTGGATATACACGACTGAAATGTAAACAAACTACGTGGCTGTTTTAACTAATTTGTAGCAAAAAATGGCAATGACAGCTGCAGTTATGCAGGCCATGTTCACCACTGACATGAAATTAGTCACAATGTATAACCACACAAGATGAACAAAACACGATGACATAGCCTTCTTCTTTCACTTCATAGTTTAAATATATTGGGAGGAAAATAGCCTGCTTCTTTTGACTTCAAATGGGTCAGCAAACAGTGGTCTCCTGAGAGGCAACATTTTTTAACGAAATATCAAAGCACAGATAAAGTACACTGTTGGATAAACATGTGTCGAGCTACAATCTTTAAGGCTTTCGTGTTTTAACTTTCCACAATGTGTCCCAACACTTATGTAAATGCTGAAGTATCGTTAGCTCAATGCTAACATTAGCCAACTGCAGATAACGACATTGTTTGCCAGCTTACACATTGACGCTAACAACTAAGCTATATTACAACAACTAAACCCCGAACCCAGTAAAATAATTTACCTGAATCAGACGACTTAATCACTTTGTGTTTAACGGGTCTTAAAGGGTGAGAATCCAAATCTTTAGCTAGCCTAGCTAGACCCGGGGAGCAGCATCAGGAAGTGTCCTACAGACTGTCAACGTCAACCAGTACGTGGCAATCTATCTGCGCAGCCGCAGAATGACGCAAAGCGTTTCTCTTTAAAAACAGGGCTTGGTCAAATCACCTGTATTCTTGTTCTCAGTTATGTAATAAAAGATACAAAATAATTTTATTATTAATTTTTACTATGTTAAATAGAGATTATAAAACATTAGGATTGGATCCACTTACTGTTAAGGTCAATATATACGTAATAAAGAAGAATGTACAAAACATTTTTTATAATTAAATAAAAAATTACATTTAAATTGGTTACTAAGCCTACCGTTGTTACTTTTTAAGTATAATGAAATTATAGCACTTTATACTGAAAACTATTTACTGATATTTAAGTCACACGTACTGTAGGTTTCCTATTTAATTAAAAACATAATAATTAATACATTTGTATTTTTGTTAATTATTTATAAAGCCTAAATAATAATAAACACAAGCAACAAAATAATTAATTGAAACACATTTTATTAATACTCAGATCATGTCATCCATACAAAACATTCAGGCAGACGGAATCATTCCTTTTATAAACATTTTTTTAAATGTGACCATCAGTGCGTTAAAATTAGTTACTTTTGACTGTGTGACCTTGAATAAATAATGTTGAACAAAAGATAAAAATAACTCGTTGTTGGAGAAGACTGAACTCAAACATCTTTTTATGATTTGTTGAGGATAAGATACAACAGATTGTGATAAAGAAATATAGCTCATCTAAGAATAAAAAAAAAATCCAGTCACAAATGTGAAGCTACTTCTTCTTCTTTTCCTGAGTTGTGTCGAACCACGAGTCTAGCAGTTTTTTCATGTAATATAACTGCCAGGCATGTACTTGAATAGCAACCACCATGACCAGGTACATGACGGTCACTGCAGAAAAACCAAAAATGAAGCGGTAGGCTTTTCCGTGGCGGTACAGCTGCTGTGCAACAGGAAACATCTCCATACCGCCATAAATAAGAGGCGTGACAGAGAACAGCCCAGCACTTAACATGGATATGACCAAGTAGCTGATGTTGTTTTTTGGGAGAGACAGGCTGCTGCAGAGCAGAGGGAGGATGCTGAGGAGGTAGGGGTACTCCCATTGGTATGGTATGGACACTGTATCATGGGATACCAGGTTGAAGTGGCTGACGGTCACTTGTGCAGCTACAAGCAGCCAGATCAGAAGGTGGACCAAGTTTAGTTTTTGTACCTCAGACTTCAGAGAAGCACTGTAAATAAAAAAGCAACAGACTTAGACTGTTATTTAAAAAGAAATACAAGTAATAGTTAATATCGCTTAAAGAAAAGTGCTTGCCTCATCTGGTAATGGGGGACCACCCTCTCTCTGGGTTTAAAGTCACTTCTATTAGGACTGCTTGCTCTGGGTCCAACACGAGATGTCATGTTGAGAAAAACCTTTAGCACACAGGCAATACAATTAAAGCTTTAGCTCTGTAAATCATCAAATAATTCCCTGCCCAGGTTCTGATCACATAACTGCAGTTTCATGCTTATGACTATATTTTTACACAATTGCCTAAAAACAAGAGACATTTAGTAAAAGCATAATGCATGATTAACTGTACCACATCTGGAAGCAAGTTAGCGATTAGCCGCTAACGTCTAGCTTGATTCATGAAGCATTTTTATTGAACATTTTACGTCTTTTTATTCTGTATTTGAGCCGTTCCCACGTCCGTAACGACATTAAAAACAAACACGTCGGGTAATTAAGCTTACCGCAGCCTATTTCTTGAATCCTGGAGGCACTCGTCGTTTAGAAATGAACTTATTGCTTACAGAGAAGATGCGACAAGAGAACAGTGTGGAAAATTCGGCGCATGCGCACTCTGACCGCAGCATCAGCATCCGCTCTCAGGCAAAACGCTGTGTCCAGCTTAGTTTAAGCATCAATGAAGTTTTTGTGATTTAGGTTTTTAAGTTATGTTGTGGGAATCTGTCATGACACTCTACTAGATTAAGTAAGTAAATGAATAAATAAATAAATGCAAAGAAATTTAGATTTTTTTCATCTCAAGTTAGAAACAATAATAAAGTATTTCAACATGACATCATTTTCACATTTAGCCTCTTTCAGTCTTATTGTTTGCAAATAATTTCAACCTGTTTAGTTAACTACAGAAATAATGCTTTTATTAAAAAATGATTAGAAATTATAACACGCCACACTGAAATAAAAAGTGTTAACACTAAATTAAATAAAAATCTGTTTTATTTTTAGACAAATCTACATGTGCCAGATGAAATTAAATTCTAGAGTTCACCATGACAACATAGCTTATTTTTCTTGAACTGCTTTACACAGTAAATATGATTAGGTCATTTTGATCAAATTTGACTTAATCCTCATTTTGATGTGATGGGTCACATATATCTTTACATTTCAGTGGTTA